CCCCCCCCCCAATCCCCCCCCCTCCCCCCCGCCCTCCCCCCCGCCCTCCCCCCCCCCTTTACATCTCCGACGCCAGTTTTGTGATCGACTATTAGCGGTCAGTAAGGTCAGTAAGGTTAGTACATACAATGAGTCAATGCCAATGTTAGCTAATAGCAACAGATTGTTTCCAGTGGAAATAGTTTTTTTCGGAACAGGCCCGTTCTTAGGCATACGCTGACTACGCATCCGCGTAGGGCCCCGAACGTGAGGGGGCCCCCGTGAGGCACCCTCGATCCCCCGTTTTTTTTTTTTAAACTGGCACTGCAGCCGTCTGTGTCACTCACGTTACTTCCTCATCCTGAAATGTATCATTGTGAGTTGAATTCGGAGGCAGGGGAAGGGAAGCAGCAGGGGGGAGCTTTGGGGGTGGCAGACAGGAAATCGGGGCTTGGCCGTGGGAATGGGAAAGAGGAAACATTGATGAAGGCAGAATGGAGGTGCCGCAGTGGTGGGTTGTGTTTTCTCCTCAGCTCGAGTGAGCTCCACCCCCGGACATCCCCCTTCCGGGGCCCCCAACCTACGCTCCATGCTTAGGGCCCCGAAACTCCTAAGAATGGCTCTGCGTCATGCGCTCGTTGAACATACAGTTGGCTAAATATTACTGTAACTCTTTCTCTCCGGAATCAATTTCCACGTTCTGACGGAATTATCCATTTTGCCTATTTTGTACGCACTCTTCCATCTCTGAAACATCATAACTTTTTTGCTTTTCATCAGAAAATGCGTAGTCAGCGTATGCCTAAGAACGGACATGCATGGCGCATTCCCCCCCTCGGCTTCGCCAGTGGTTCCTCAGAGTTTTTGATTCAAGGCCTATCCCAAATTTAGGTTTTCACCAGGCTTCCGGTGTTAAATTCTAACAAGTACATTCCAAATAGCGAATACGTTAAAAAAAAATAATATATATATAAGGGTTGTGTAACAAGCGAGTAACTTGGCATCAGTAGTTACTAAAGTGTTGGCACAGGGCCGGCGTTAGGAGGGTATGGGGGCTTGGGCAAATTGAATTTTGCGGGGCCGTTGATGTTATATATTCCGTCGATAGGATATTAAGACACGTTATAGTCGTACTGGGGCCTTGTTGGTCATAATGGGACGCGTCATAATGGATATTGTCATTGTTATATTAACATGCGCCCAGAGGTCTTCCCGAGATTCATCTCGAAGGGATAGTATGAGAGCCAGACTGACCAAGGGATAGTATGGGAGCCAGACTGACCTTCAGACCATTGGACTAGCTAATAACTCCGAATATTGTGTCGACTGGATTAGGAACTATTAGATGGCTTAGGTATAGTATAAATATACTACGGCAACGCGCGGGGCCCCCAAGATGCGCACCATGACCGCTAGATGTCACATTCAAACAGCTGTTACTCACGTGTTGGCACCACAACCGCTAGGGGCCACAACCTAGGACGGGGCCATGACAAGACAACACAGGACCGGGCCATGACGAGACAACCCGGGACGGGCCATGCCGAGACAACCCATGACAGGGCCATGACAAGACAACCCAGGAAAGAGCCAGGACGAGACAACCTGGGACAGGGCCATGCCGAGAAACCATGACAGGGCCATGCCGAGACAACCCAGGACAGGGCCATGACCAGACAACCCTAGAGCCAGGACGAGACAACCTGGGACAGGGCCATGCCGAGAAACCGTGACGGGGCCATGCCGAGACAACCCAGGACAGGGCCATGACAAGACAACCCAGGAAAGAGCCAGGACGAGACAACCTGGGACAGGGCCATGCCGAGAAACCATGACAGGGCCATGCCGAGACAACCCAGGACAGGGCCATGACAAGACAACCCAGGACATGGCCATGACGAGACAACCCAGGACATGCCATGACGACACAACCCAGGACAGGGCCATGTCGAGACAACCCAGGACAAGACCATGACGAGACAACCAAGGACAAGGCCATGACGAGACAACCCAGGAAAGGGCCATGAAATGACAACACTGGACAGGGCCATGACGAGACAACCCAGGACAGGGCCATGACGAGACAACCCAGGATGGGGCCATAACGTGACAACCCAGGACGGTGCCATGCCGAGGAAATTTAACAACAATCGAGAAGCAAGAAAATTATGCCACTTAATGTAGAGAAAAAAGTGACCCACAGGGCCGACCAGTTAAAAGATGATTTTAGGCGCACCTGTCTTTTTGAAATCTATGGGATTTTATATTCTAATTTGACGTATTAACATCTTATGTTAAGAAGATTTTGGCGCCAATGATGTTGACGTCTAGTGCGACTGCCCTCTTTGCACAATTCTCACATTACTATCTGAGTTATATTATGGGAACCACTGGGCTGGTCGAACAGTCAGCGGAGTAAACCAATGGCATTTTTTAAAATGTCTGTGACGTCACAATTATCTATACATTATTCGATTTCGTTGGTGTTTTTTTTGGGGGGGTGTGGGGTGGTGGGGAAGCTTCTTATATGAATTGGGGGGGTGGGGGGTCTGTCCAAAAAGTACGCGTTCAACACGGTGAGGGGGTCGAAAATTGTACCATTTTACGTCACAATGACTAAATCCAAAGCCCCAACAAAAGAAAATTATACAACATGGGAGGCAACTTAAAATAAAAAAATCTTCAGAGAACACATCGATTACTAATCTTGGTTTTGTTATTTTATGTTTCTTTAAGTTAAGAAAAGTGGACTTGAATTCCTTGCTGCATGCAGATTAGAGACCGACCGCAGGTGATTTTCTGATTTAGGCCGAAACCAAAAGCTTAAAGAGACTTTCGGCCGAAACCTAAAATTGTTGAAATTCGTGCAGGCATACATTCTGCTAGCATCGAAAAATGATAGGGGAAAGTATCAATATTTACATTCTTTGATACAAACTGAGGTCTTCGTAAATATTAATAAATAAACATCTTTCGATTACTTTGGCTTTTATCATTTTAATTACTTTTATACTATAATTACAATCTAGAACGGTTACCAACAATAAATATTGTAGCTCTAATAAAGCCAATTGTCACCTAAATACAAATTATTAAAGCTATAAAAACTATCACCACAGAATTTCAAGAAATAATTGGAGAAAGCCTAAGTTTCCTTAATTTATTATTAAAAAAAAAAAAGATCATGGAAATATGACCATTTCCTAGGATTATTCAATATTATTCACCTTAGCCTATAACAACATTGATGAGCATGATACGGAACAATTAAAATAGGAATCACAAATGAAGGAATTGATTAAACCTAGGGTTCCAAATTTTATTTTTGAAAAAACAATTTAAAAAATAATGATATAAATAAAACCATTCACGTAGTTTTTCTTCCACAAAACTGTTTACATTTGCTTCGGCCTAATGAAATTTAATTTTTGGAAATAAAGGACAAGTTGGTTATCATGCAGCTGTGAACTGTTTTCCCTGAGTGAATAGTCATATAACATACGATGACAGCAAGACGTCGAGCAATAATGAATAGTGGATTGTAGGTCTAGAGACAGACAGTCTGACTTCTAGTAGATGACCGAAAACCTCAATCACTTTTGGCCATCTGACCGAAAGTCTCAATCACTTACGGCCAAAACCGAAATTAAACCGAAAGTTAACTTGACGAAACTAGGCCGAAATTTAACTATTCTGTTAAACCGAACGTTAACTTTTCAGTTTCGACCGAAGCCTAAAATAGGCCGAAAGTTAACTTTTCTGTTTCGGCCGAAAACGAAACTTGGCCGAAAATGATCAAATGGCAACTTTCGGCGCCGAAAACGTAGCCAAAATTCGGCATGTCTCTAAAGCAGATATTATAAAAACTTTAAGAACCCTTAGACATGCGGCACACATAGATAACAGTCACTCTGGACTAGTTTTCCCCATGTAACATTTTTACACTTCAACTTTGTCAAGGACTGAGTCACCGGGTTTAGCAGAAGTCCTAAGCCTTCCATTTCGTCTGACTCCGTGTTGAACGTTTAGACTGATTCCAAACGTCAGTTGGTCGGAGCTGTTGGTCAATGACGCCACGAGCGATGAGTAGCCATGAACCGCCGTGAACAGCCGTGAACAGTTAGGAACAGCCGTGAACAGTTATGAACAGTCATGAGCAGTCGTACCTGGATTTTAAATTACAAATAAAGCTAGAGACTCGTGTTCACATGTTGAACATCGAAGTACATTCACTCAACAGTGGACACAGCGACCAGGTCCCATTCTTAAGTCACACGTAGTAGACGACCTATTTTTGTTCTCTTGCACAAGCCAGATCTCAAGTATATGTACGTCACACTGCTCAGGTTGTTATCTTAGCACACAATAATATCGGCCATAAAACGCTCTCTGCGGGCACTTGAGTTGTGAAACAAAAAGTTGCATCTCAATGGACCAGGTCACTGTCACAGTCAGGGTCCAAACACATGGAAGATGAGCGTTCGTTTATGACGTAGACAATTTGAGGCTATTCTAAGTCAAGTTTTTTGTCGTCTGGTCAGACCATGGCTGTCAACGTGCCTTGCCTCATTGCCGTCATCGTTCTGTACGTTGTAATCCTGGTCATCGGTATCGTGGCGGCGAGAAAAACCAACAAGACACAGGACAGCGAGGAGGTGATGGTAGCCAACAGACACCTGGGACTTGTGGTGGCCTGCTTCACAATGACAGGTGAGTGGTCACACTAGGACAGGTACATTGTACAAACAATCAGAGGTGATTAGTACAAACAATGACAGGTTGAGTTGTAAAACCAGTGAGATGTGAGTGGCACACACAATGACAGCTGAATGGCACACATAATGACAGACGAGAGGCCAAAACAAGGATATGTGAGTGGCCTACACAAAGGCAGGCGAGAGGCGCACACACGGACATGTGAGTGGCCCACACACTGACATGTGAATGGCCCATACACTGACAGGTGAGTGGTCCATACACTGACAAAGGAATGGCACACACATTGACAGATGAGGGGCACACACAATGACATATGAGGGGCACACACAATGACAGATGAGAGACACACACAATGACAGGTTAGTGGCACACACAATGACAGATGAGGGGCACATACAATGACATACGAGAGACACACACAATGACAGATGAGTCGCACACACAATGAAAGATGAGTCGCACACACAATGACAGATGAGTCGCACACACAATGACAGATGAGTCGCACACACAATGACAGATAAGTCGCACACACAATGACAGATGAGGGGCACACACAATGATAGATGAGGGGCACACACAATGACAGATGAGTCGCACTTACAATGACAGATGAGTCGCACACACAATGACAGATGAGTCGCACACACAATGACAGATGAGTCGCAAACACAATGACAGATGAGTCGCACACACAATGACAGATAAGTCGCACACACAATGACAGATGAGGGGCACACACAATGACAGATGAGGGGCACACACAATGACAGATGAGTCGCACACACAATGACAGATGAGTCGCACACACAATGACAGATGAGTCGCACACACAATGACAGATAAGTCGCACACACAATGACAGATGAGGGGCACACACAATGACAGATGAGTCGCACACACAATGACAGATGAGTCGCACACACAATGAAAGATGAGTCGCACACACAATGACAGATGAGTCGCACACACAATGACAGATGAGTCGCACACACAATGACAGATGAGTCGCAAACACAATGACAGATGAGGGGCACACACAATGATAGATGAGAGACACACACAATGACAGATGAGGGGCACACACAATGACAGATGAGTCGCACACACAATGACAGACGAGAGACACACACAATGACAGGTGACCTGATAATTAAGGTCTTAGGTTATTTTTGGGTGGGGTAGGTCGACGAACCTTATATAAGTAAATATTACGGATACATTTTATGGATATCTTTGGTTACTTGTTTTCAGGTAATTCATTAATTTGTTTCAAACTAGATTTGATGAATGCTTTTAAGAAAGTTTTAACATTTTCCAAACTTTTTGTTCATCTCGTTCTTAATTCTGTTGCTCTCTTTGATGAATTTCAATCATTTGAATCTTCCCGCTAGTTCTTTCAATATTTTCCTTTAGCCCATTATATTGTCACCCATCTATGCATCAATCCCATATCACAAACAATCATATCCCATTTATTCGTCTGTTTTAGCTACCTTTGTCTGTGGTGGATTGTTGAACGGTACAGCTGAGTACGCGGCGTGGCACGGTCTGCTTCAGACACAGGCGCCGCTGTGCTACACCGTCGGTGTTTTCATCAGTCAGGCAACGTTTCCCGTTTTCTCATATTGAATATATCTCTATCTATAAAGTGGCTATTCGGAGCCGGGTCCGAGAAGTTAGAGGTTGGGATTAAACATTTAAAAAATATAAATATTATTGTTAAGTTGAAAGATACAATTTGGTATCAAATGAAAGATAATGGAATGGACTCTATGTTTGTAAACTTAATTCTTCAGTTTAACTAAAATAAACGACCCCAAATGACATCCGACTAGCATTGAGTCTAAAGGGACCCGGGTCCGAAAAGCGGCGATGTGTTTCCGGTTTCATTTTGACGGATGTCATTTGTGTGTCGTTTATTTGAGTTCAACTGAAGACCTCAGTTTACAAACATAGAGTCCATTCAATTATCTTTCATTTGATACTAAATTTAGTCTTACAAACGCTACAATCATTTAAAATATTTTTGAATAAGCCCAAACTCTCACTTCTCGGACCCGGGTCCGAATAGCCGCAGCCATATGTATATATTATACAAATTAAATCTTACAATTACTAACGGATTACTTCTTTTAATTTTTTCCACTGTCAAACTTTGTACTGTAAGTAATCAACCCACATTCGTATCCCGTGCAGGGCTGCCACACCTTGGGAAATGTCCCAAGATCTTGGGAATTCACTACTCCATCCAGGACAAAAACTTACGTTTAAAAAAAATTATTCCCAAGATAAATTCCCTTTTTAAAAAAAACCTCATGTATTATCATGATCTTGGGAAATATTTTTACCAAATCTTGGGAATTAAAAAAAAAATTGAGTGGCAGCCCTGATCCCGTGTTATGCGCACTGTGAACTTCTGCGTCTGCTTCAGTTTTTAAAATAAACGTTCCCCAGGTGGCATTGTGATTGCCCCAAAGATGAGACGTGAGCGATACGTAACGATGTTTGACCCCTTTCAGTTCAAATATGGCCGTAAGATGGGATCCCTGTTGATTATACCCCACATGCTAGGGGACCTGTTCTGGTCTGCGGCAGTGTTAGCGGCCTTAGGTAAGACAACGGATCAATTAATGGAACTTTTAATTTTATCGTTACGCAAACTGAAATGTTTGATTTGAAACATTTACTTCTTGTACATAGAAGTTAAAAATATTTAGATTTTTATGATAAATATTTTGTGTACATCACTAGTTTAAAATACACTTTAAACGTCACTTGAAGCTTTTTATTATAGGCCAACACATTTCACCAATGACTTGTTTGTCCTAAATTGTCAACATAATAGATTCCCTTTCACAGGGGTTCTCACAATTTTTTAAAAATAAAAAACAAACAACAAACTTGCTGATTTAAATTGAAAGACGAAGACACATTTTTGAAAGTGACCATGTCATTCACACAAACACACACACACACACACATACAACCATGAACACACATACATAACTCTTCCCCTTCGACAACTAAAAATCTATAACTAACATTTATAATGATAGGTTAGTTGTTGAAACTCATGTTTCTACAAGAGTAATGATTACATTAGCTGTTCGTCTGTCGAAATCGACTATAACCATCGTGACATCCGGTTAGGGGGGAGGCTGCTTTGCCATGAGCTTATAGGTGGCTTGCTAGACCGATGACAATAATAATAATCTCTGGCACCGCAGGCAGGGGATAACAAGTGATCTAATATTGCTGCATTTAGTAGGGTTGATGTTGAAGGCCTTTAGTGCAGCTTTCAGTGAGTCTTTGTAACGATTTTTTTTTACCTCTTTGGGAGCACTTGCCTATCGCGAGTTCTCCGAAGAATATCTGTTTTGGGAGCCGGTGGTCTTCAATACCAGCTGCGTGTCCCATCCATCGGAGTTGAGACTTCATCAGGGTGGTAAAGGTATTAGGTTAGTTCGCTCTAGCGACGACCTCTGTGTCAGTAATTTTGTCTTGCCACCTAATGCCGAGGAGTTTCCTGAGGCAGGTTGTGTGAAAGTGGTTCAGTTTCTTGGCGTGACACTGGTAGAATGTCCACGTTTCACATCCGTAGAGCAATGTCGAGAGGACTGCTGCGCTAAAGATCTTCGTTTCTCGTCCGATACCTCTCCTTTCACAAACAGTGCTGCGTAGCCTGCCAAATATGGCACTGACATCTGCGAGTTTGGCTTTCATTTCATCATCCATGACGACAGATCTGGAGAGGGTGCTGCCCAAGAAAGATAATTTATCCACCGCGTTAAGACGCTGACTGCTGATGATAATGTTGGGTTCAGCGTAGGACTTAATGGAGCTGTCTGATACATCACCTAAATCTTCTTTGTGTTGATTGTGAGGCCAACGTTATTGCAGGCCTAAGAGAAGACATCAACGCTGTGTGGCACGGCGGCTTCTGAGGCAGCGTTTAGGGCACAATCGTCCGCAAACAGAAGCTCCTTGATGGCATTGTGTTTGACTTTGGTTTTAGCCTGAAGCCGCCAAAGTTAGAAGACTGATCCATCGGTGCGAAACCGGATCGGCAAGCCCTTGGTGGAGTCCTTGAATGCACCAGACAGCATTGCAGAATACATAACATTGAAGAGTGTGGGAGCCAGGACGCAGCCCTGCTTTACACCGTTTGTGACAGGAAATGCTTGAGATGACTGACAGTTGTCCAGCACTTGAGCCATCATGCAGCTGACGGATAATGTTGGTGAACTTGTCTGGCCATCCGTACTTCTTCATGATTTTCCACAGGCCACCTCTATTGACCCTGTCAAAAGCTCTTCTTCAGGTCTATGAATGTGGAATATAGGTCCGTATTTTGCTCCTGACATTTCTCTTGACGCTGCCTGGCAGCAAACACCATATCGATAGTTCCGTATTCTTTGCGGAAACTGCATTGACTATTGGGTAGGAAACCTAGCTCCAGATACGCATTCAGGCGGTTCAGAAGGGCTCGGTTTAAGACCTTGTCTGCGATGGACATCAGTGAAATTCCGCGGTGATTTCTCAGGCCTGACGGTTTCCTTTGTGTTTGTACCTGTGGATTATTTAGGCAGCTTTGAGATCTTGTGGTAGAGTTTCTGTCTGCCATATGATGTGGAATAGACGCAATAGCTTATCCGTCAACGCTGGTCCACCCTCTTGGTAGATTTCGGCAGGAATCATGTCGGAGCCAGGAACTTTCCCATTGGACATTTGGCGGATTGCTGTCTGTATCTCAACCAAAGTTGGGACAGAGTTCAGTGACTTTTTCGTTGGGACCTGGGGCAGTCTTTCAATGGCCTCATTAATGGCAGAAGACGAATTGAACACACTATCAAAGTGTTCGGCCCATCTTTCCAAGATTTTCTCCTATTCTATGATGAGTGTAGATCCGTCTGCACTAAGGATAGGAGAAGAGCCTGAGGTGTTAACTCCACAGATTTCTCTCAGGCCAATGTAGAAGTTTTTCAAGTCTTTCTTGTCTGCAAGGCTCTGAATCTCATCAGCTTTCGCACTCAGCTAGGAGAATTGCATATGGCACAGTTGCAACTGTACCTTGCTGCGGATGCTCCTCAGAGCAGCTGTATTTGCTGTTGACATTGGGTCATCATGGAGGGCCTTGTACGCCCGACGTTTTTGCTCAAGTAGCATTTGGATCGCTGTGTTGTTTTCATCAAACCAATCATTGTGTTTCCTGGTAGAGGGTCCGAGGCGCTCAACGGCTGTGCTATACACTGTCTCACAAAGTATGGTCCACGCTGTTTCAGCGTCCTGATAGTCCAGTGTGATGGTATCAAGGCGTTCATCCAAGTTGTCAACAAAGGCTTTTTCTTACATCAGGGATCTTCAACTTACTGATTTTGATGCGTTTCGGAGCTTTGGTGACCTGGGGGTCATCTCTTAGTTTGGATGTGAATGTTCATCTTTGAGACGATGAGGCGGTTATCCGTCCAGCATTTTGCGCTGCAAGTGGCGTTAGTCACCCTCACGTCCTTCCGGTCCCTATTTCTGACGATGCCATAATTTATTAGGTGCTAGTTTGGATTGGGGTGCATCCAGGAGGTCATGTTGCGCGGAGGCTGGCTGAAGGTGGTGTTTGTTATTAGAAGGTCGTGTTCAGCACAGGTCTGAAGTTGCAGTAGGCTGTTGCTGTTGCACTTTCCAATACCATACTTTCCCATCGCTCCCCAGGGGGTGTAGTCGCTGCCGACACGTGCATTGAAATCTCAAAGGATGATGAGTTTGCCAGCAGTCTGTGTGGTCGAGATAACAGTATTGTAAGGAAACCTTGCTTACTCTCTAGCTAACTTCATCTAGATCTGGTACTCAATAAGTAAACAACTCCGGTGATACATTTAAAGATTAAACTCGTGTTCTTTATTTGATCTATCATTTGCTTACACTTTCACTCATCTCCCAACTCCGACTTCTCCCTGCTCTCCCGTTCACAGTCCGGCCGCCTTCTCTTCTAACCATCCGGCCGCGCTCCCCCTAACCCGTCCAGAGGTCCCTATTTATAGGTCCCTGGGTCTGTACTTGCGCCGCCCCTTTTCTCAATTGCCATGGTCTAGACGTCCCAGGTAAATGCCCTGGTCAGATGGATGGTCGTGTCTGGGTGGTCAGACGGATTACGTCAGGCGCCGTCGTGGTCCGAACTCTCCACAGTATTCAGGTCTTCATAAAACTTATCTTTGGTCCCTTCTGTGTTTGTCATTGTTACAGCACTGCCTCTATTGTGAGAAATTAATCTCTTGTTTTAAATTATGGCTCGTTCAAACAGTTCACAACAAAGGACGATACCATAGCGAAATACAATAGCAAAAATACGACACTCAAAACAGTACTAACCACAATTAATAAGATTTAATTAGGTATTAATATAATTACAAAACAAAATAAATATAATTACAATCATCAACTTACAGACTATGAGATGTCTTGTACCAGTACACAGTTAGTACAATGCGTCAATTAATAATGTACAATGATGAATGCAAATAAACAGAGTACACACACAATAATACACTTGTCTCGTGAAGTTAAAAATATCTATCAATCAATCTCCTTCGATGAATCTCTGAATCCCTTTTATATGTATACGTCCGTAGAACCAACGCTTCTAGAAATGTCTTCTACATTGTTTATTTTTCTAGTCAATTATTGAAGTTTCCCCAAATTTCTATTAGAATATATTAGTTATTTTTAGTTGATAGAAAACAACGACTAAGATGAAAGGAAATAGGCCACGCCCAATACGAACGCCGTCTAATGTGGGGTCAACCAGAGTTCACGGCACGGGGAAAGTGTGACGTAAACACGTCCTACATAACAGTCATGGTGGGTGCATAGGCACTGATGAAAGTGGCAGCCTTCTTTCCATGGCAGAGGGGGAGTTTCAACGTCATGAAACGGTTGTTGATACCTTTTGGAGAGCTGGTGAACTTACTCACAAGAGAGGTTTTGATAGCAAAGCCAGCACCAGCCCCTCACCTTGCGTCAAGGTCACGTCCGCTCCAGAAGAAAGAATAACCAGCAAGCCTTTCTGTGAGTTCACCTTTGCCAGAGAGTCTGGTTTCACTGAGGGCGGCAATGTCTATATTGTATCTCTCAAGTTCATGGGCAACGAGCGCCGTGTGACGTCGAGGTCTGTTTGTAGTGTCCCTATCAAGCAGTGTGCGTATGTTCCAAGTGGCAATTTTAAGTGAAATAGAGTTTATCTTTGATTTTTGACAGCAAAAAAAAAGGATCCCCGCCGACCATGTTTAGCCGACCAGGGTGTGAACAGGCAGTGTTTTGGGCACCTATTCTAGCCCCTGCGTCATGCATTTAGGAGAGCCTATCCGTCACCACAGGACTTGTGATGATGGGTGTTGGTGACTGATGACTTGCATGAGTGACTTTGTTTAAAGTAAGGAGGAGTTGCGCAGCTTCAACCTCACTCTCTCGCCCGGACTCACCGTGTCCAGTGGCAAGACTAAGTCAAGTCGACCGGAGATGGGTACGGATGCAGTGGATGACCAAGATGTTCTACGTGCCTCATCCTGCTCTACACACCCCAAGGTGCGTTGCTGTAATCGTCATCTCCTCCGTTGAACCTAAATGGTCTCCTCTGTATGTTCCGTAGACGTCCAGGCTTTGCATGCAGTAGGTAGGCAGTCCTAAATCACCGAGGGTTTGAGGCCCATCAGCTACCCACACCTGGTTTAACCGGCTAATGGAAGCCATTGCCCAGGGTATGACCGCAGTTGCAGACTAAAAGCTGCGGGGTGCACAGGTGAGAGTTGAGTGACAGGGGAGGACCAAGGTGGACGAACTGCTCCTAGGAGCACAACGTTTTCCCCATCAGGGGCACCATGTCTTCTTGTACACACCATAATAAAAAGGAAAAATACGTATCTGAAATAAACATTATGGCCAGAATCTTTAGTATATTTTTCACTTAAATGACTATTTCTTATAACTAATTTTTGTTGAAATAAAGAATTCCTTTCTCTTGTGTATTATTATACCGCCATCTTGTCGTAGCCGGAAGTTATCTTTTGTATAATGAAAATGGAGATTTTGTTAACGAAATGTTGTTGAAAGGAAAAAAAATACGTACCTGAAACAAAGATTCTGATCCTGTCCAGATTCTTAAGCATATTTTTCACAGAAGGAATTATTTCCTACATCTAATTTTTGGTGAAGTCCATGTTTCCTTTCTTTTATGTTCACTTTGTTTCATTTTTCCGCCATCTTGTTGCAGCCCGGAGTTTCTTATGATTACATTACACACCTTATAAATCAAAGATCCGTTATTTAATGATTCTATTCCGACAACTTCCAATGTTCACATGTTTCCATCCAGACAACATCGGATGTTCATATAGTTTCATCCAGACACCATCGGATGTTCATATAGTTCCATCCAGACACCATCGGATGTTCATATGTTTCCATCCAGACATCATCGGATGTTCATATGTTTCCATCCAGACATCATCGGACGTTCATATGTTTCCATCCAGACGTCATCGGATGTTCATATGTTTCCTTCCAGAACCATGTAATGTTCACATGTTTCCATCCAGACACCACCCTATGTTCACGTTTCCATGCTGACACCATCCGATGTTTATATTTTTCCATCCAGACACCATCCAATGTTCACATGTTTCGTTCCATACACCATCCAATGTTCACATGTTTCCATCCAGACACCATCTAATGTTCATATGTTTCCATCCATACACCACCCGATGTTCACGTTTCCATGCTGACACCACCCGATGTTCCTTTTATTTTTAGGCGCAACAATCTCCATTATAGTTGACATCAATGCCACAGTCTCTATCATTGTATCTGCCCTTATCGCTGTCATCTACACATTCCTCGGGGGGCTTTACGCTGTCGCCTACACTGACGTCATACAGATGGTAATGATTGCTATTGGAATGGTAAGATGCAAGATGGTAATGATTGCTATTGGAATGGTAAGATGCAAGATGGTAATGATTGCTATTGGAATGGTACTATCCAAGATGGTAATGACTGCTATTGGAAAGGTAAGATGCAAGATGGTAATGATGGCTATTGGAATGGTACGATCCAAGATGGTAATGATTGCTTTTAGAATTGTAAGATCCGAGATGGCAATGATTGCTATTGGAATGGTAAAATCCAAGACGATAATCTCGATGGGGTTCCATTTTCGACTACCTGCAGACTTTTTTCAAAGAAAGGGCGGCAAAAAGCTTTGCCCGCCCCATGTAGCCTCAACACTAGTAACGCCACTGCCTGCTCCCAAACAAAATTAACTACAACAAATATAAAGCTAATGCCAAGTTTTACGCACTGCCTTCTACTGTGAGAAATTAATCTCCTATTTTAAATTTATGGCTCGTTCAAACAGTGCCTAACAAAGGACGATATCATAGAGAAATACAAATAACGAAAATACGAGACCCAAAACAGTACAAATTACAATTAATACGATTTAATTTAGTAATAATACCATTACAAAACAAAATAAACATAATTACAAATCATCAACTTACAGAGTATATGAAAATATGGTAGATCTTGTACCGGTACACAGAGAATATAAGCACGCAAAAAATACTCGTGAAGTTAAAATATATCTATCTGAATCTCCGTCTCTCTCCGTGCCTGTCAATCCTTTATATATGTCGGTGTACCGACGCGTCTAGAAATGCCCTTACTTTTCTAATACAATCGAGAACCTTTGACAAGATACTAGTAGACCTACTAACCATGTTTAATTGGAAGCCGGTAGTAAACACGATACTTCAAAGACTAACCCACGCCCACAAAAAACGCTACCGTCTGCTAGGGATCTAATGTGGGGTGAAACAAAGTTCAAGCACGGGGAAAAAGTGTACTACATAACACAAGACACAACTTGGGGAACATCTCAGGGCACATCTTAGGCCAACTCTTAAGGCATATATCAGGGAACGCAACCGTTAAAAAAAACTAGTTTTGCTATATAAATCATAGTGAAAATCTCCTTCACTGCTTCATAGGTTAATAGTTCTCACCATTTTTGTAGGCATTAGTTATGTCAAATGTTACTTTTTAAATCTACATAAATGTCGCCAAAAGGTATGTCCAGATATTTGTTTCTCCAAACAAATTTCAATAAGTGATTACTCGTCTAACAGATCATTGCCTTCCCCTTTGCTCTGACACACCCTCACGTTCACCTGGAGAACATCAGTGACACCTGGCTGGGAGATGTGCCTGCTGGGACAGAATGGGCTTATTTTGATATAGCCTGTCTCCTTGTCTTTGGAGGCTCCACTTGGCAGGTTGGTGGTGTTAACAAAAATTGGCTTTTCATTCTATTCTAAGAAGAAATATAAAACAAATACTTAAGAATAAAAAAAGAGAAAAAAAGACACATACAAAGAAGAGACCGACCGAATTTCGGCTTCGGCTTCGCTTTCAGCGCCAAAAGTGGCCATTTTATCACTTTCGGCTTAATTTCGTTTTCGGCCGAAAGAGAAATGCTAACTTTCGGTTTATTTTAGGTTTCGGTCAAAATTGACTTAGACTTGACTGATGTTTTAGGTCATCTAACAGAAGTCAGACGGTCTGTCTGTCTCTAGGCCGTAATCTGATATATAATTAGTGATCGACGTCTTGCTGTCATTGTTTGTTATATATTACTAATACTCGGTGGAAGCTGCCTACAGCTGCATGATGACCTACTTGTCCTGTCCTATATTTCCAAACAATAAACATTTTATTGGAAGAAAAACTAAGGGAATGGTAATATTTATATCATTGTTTTTGTTTCTTTTAATTTAATAAAATTTGGAACCGTAGGTTTATTCAATTCCTTCACTTTTGGTATTCATTTTGATTTATCATTATCATGCTCATCAATGTTGTCATAGGCAAAGGTGAATGATATTGCATAATCCATGGGAATGGTAAAATTTACATTTTTATTTTTAATTTAAAAAAAATGTTAAAAAGCAAACATAGGCCTTTTCAAACCATTCATTTCTTGAAATTCATCATTATCATGCCCATAAACATTGTTACTGGTGAAATAACATGCGTTTGCATGAATCATGGATTCGTATTATAATTATGTAGTAGGTCTTCTGCAGACCTGTGTACTTTTATGATATTGGCGACCAATTTAGGTGTCTTTTGCGACTCTACGTCGAGACCCATGATCAAAACAACAATTTTAAGAGACCCGGTTTAAAAAAAAATAATTTTCGCCATTAATGAGGTGAGGGAGATTGGTCTCCGAACGAAAAAAATTACGTCACCAGCACGGAAACACTAATGTTTTGTTACTAGGTTAAATATTAATACAGTGATATCTTGCAAGCCATTAATGAAAACACAAAGCATTAGTATTACGAAAACAGCGAAAAATTGTGGTAATATTTTTATAGCCTTAATAAATATATATTTAGGTGGCAATTGGCTCTAATAGCGCCACAATAATTATTGTAGGTATATGTTCTAGGGTGTAATTATATTATAAAAGCAAAGGGCACTTAAGAGTCTATTTTGCATTAATTTTGCTCCCCGGCCATTTTTGCAAAATTTTCTCCTACCATACTAATTAAAAAAAATTTGTAAAGCAATTTAAATTACTTTAAATTAAAATTGTAAAATCCAAAGTATTCATTAGATCAAGGGTCTCAAACTCAAATCATCAGGGGGTCCGCAAGGAGGTAGAGTCTGAGTGAGACTGGGCCGCATCAAGTATTCCACAGAAAAGAAAATACAAATTGAAAGTACAACTGTTAGAATCTGCCCAACCGTTATAAATAACAAATAAAAACATTAAGGGTTCTCAAGAAATAGGATTCACTTTCTTCCACCTACTCACTGTTGCCAGAGACCTGGCAGCGCTTTTTTTACACAGCTGAGGAACTTTGGTTGAGAGAGGAAGCAACTGAGACCCTCAGTATAGCTTGAAGATCCTCATCAGTCAGTTTGGCCCTGAACTTTAATTTCTTAAAGTGCATAAAAAGAGCTTTTCACACAGATAGGTACTCACAAAAAGTCATACGATCCGCCTGAACAACCTAAAAATGTCAGGAAGGTTGAGGGCAAAGCAATAAAATGTCCAGCTTGTCTGTTTTTCCATTCAACTCCCCACGAGGGACATCTTGCACATTAAAGGAGAAAGGGTCAGCAAAAAGCTGTAAAGTGGCTGTCTGTGTTTTGTCTAAAAATGTGAACACATTCTTTCTGTAGTTTTGCAATGGCATCAGTATACTTACTACTTGTTGTTCGTCCGTCGAAGTCGACTAGGACCAACGAGTCATGCGGTTAGGGAGAGGCTGGGATTATGGTGAGCTCGTAGGTGGTTTGCTAGACTGACCCTTGCTCAAATAATCTATGACACCGTGGGCATGGAATAGTTGCTTCAGACGGTGACCTAATGTTGCTCTTTCGGATAAGCCTGCGTGTCTCAGCTGTGGTTATTCTATTCGCTTCATGGGATTTAGCCCCCTTCTTGACAACAGCTCTCCACCTGGCTCTGTCCTGGGCTGTCTGCACCCATTGAGTAGGGTTTATGCTGAAGGCCTTTAATGCCACTTTCAGTGAGTCTTTGTAACGCTTTTTTTTGGCCTCCTTGGGAGCGCTTACCTATCGTGAGTTCTCCGAAGAATAATTGTTTCGGGAGCCGGTGGTCTTCCATACAGGCTACGTGTCCCATCTAACGGAGCTGAGACTGCATTATAGTGATGAAGATACTAGGCAAGTTAGCTCTAGCGAGGACCTCAGTGTCGGGGACTTTGTCTTGCCACCTGATGTTGAGGAGTTTCCTGAGGCAGATAGTGTGAAAATGATTCAGTTTCTTGGCGTGACACTGTCCACGTTTCACATCCATAGAGCAGTGTCGTGAGGACTTCGCTATAGACCATGAGCTTTGTTTTTCGTCTGATACCTGATGCTGCTGAGCCTGCCAAATATGGCACTAGCTTTTGCGAGTTTGCGATTCATTTCATCATCCATGACACCAGATCTAGAGAGGGTGCTGCCCAAGTAAGTAAATGTATCCACCGGGTTGAGACGCTGTCCACTGATGATGATTTTGGGTTCAACGTAGGGCTTACTGGGAGCTGGCTGATACATCACCTCAGTCTTCTTTGAGTTGATTGTGAGGCCAAAGTTATTGCAGGCCTCAGAGAAGATATCAAAGCTGTGTTGCATGACAGCTTCTGAGGGAGCGTTGGGGGCACAATCGTCTGCAAACAGAAGCTCGTTGATCGTGATATGTTTGACCTTGGTTTTATCTTCTTGTATTGTTGAGAAATCGAAGAGGTTTATCTAAGAACAATGACACAATTTTTGTGCTGAATGCCCTGACATTGTCATAGGCAATACTGACAAGCTACCACTGGTCTTGTAACTTCTTGTTGAGTACATTCAGCTCCTGTGTAATGTCAACAAGACAAACCAAGTCCATTAGCCATTTCGGATAATTTAGTACCAAAAAACCACCCCATTCTTCTCCATGAAGGCTTTAAATGCTAAAACGTGTCAAACAATAGGCAGGAGCGCGGCCGTATTTATGAATTATTGATGCTAAGGAAGCAGCTATTGTTGTTAGAATGAATTTTTACTTTTTTTCGTTTTAAAGGCCTTTTTGACTAACCCTATTTTAAAAGACAATCCTACTATATGGATCAGAAACTTGGAAAAAAACAGTGAGCATTACGCAGAAAGTACATACCTTCATATACACATGCCCTAGAAAGATCCTGAACATCAAATGGCCAAATATTATCACCAACAAAGATCTATAACTAGATAGGACTTACCAGGTTCCCATCGACGAAGACATCGTAAATAAAAAATGGAGATGGATAGGACATACTCTCCGAAAATCCCCAGATAGCATCAACAGAAATTCCTAACATGGAATCCACAGGGAAAAAGAGAGAGAAGAAGGCCAAAGAATACATGGAGACGCGATCTAGTGGCAGACACGCGAAATATGGGATACACCTAGAAACAACTGGAAATAAAAGCACAGGACCGTGATGAATGGAGAATTCTTCTGGATGGTCAGACTGGTTAAAAAGGCATAAGAAGAAGAAGATTTTGAAAGTGACCAAGCTGCCGGGATCAGAATTTCCCTTACTCGTAAACACTAGTGGCAATTTAAATATGGATCCTTTGATAATGTATCAGATTGCTACGATTTACACAATTATGGTTGTGCATTACCCACCAACTTACTTTTAAAACTTTTTTCAAAGCCTCACTCAGTGCCATGTTTGTCTCATAAAATGCTACCAAATAAAAACTCCTATTCCGATTTTAAAACGGCTCTTACTATTATAATCATCATACAAAATATAAGAAACATTTAAAAAATCAGAATTAGACTAGTGGGTGAGATTCGACTGAAACCGTCGCGGAGAGTTACGTTATAGATATGAGAATGGGGAAAACTTGGCTGCGCATTAACACTAAACTTGACCGCAAAATATCGTCTTGCGGGTCATAAATGGCTCGCGGGCCGCGTGTTTGAGACCCCTATATTAGATGTTTATTTATTAATATTCACCATTATCTCATTTTTATAAAAATAATGTAAATATTGATACATTCCCCCATCATTTTCGATGTATGCAGAAAGTATGAGGGAACAAATTTCAAAATATCTAAATATTTCATTTTTGGCTTCTGCATTAGGCCGAAAGTCATTTTTAAAATTTCGGCCTATTTACGGTTTCGGCCGAAAAGCATTTTTAAACTTTCGGCATATTTTCGGTTTCGGTAGAAATCAGAAAATCACTTTCGGTCGGTCTCTAATACAAAGCCATGGATTTCGGCATGCTTACAAATGTGAAATTATTTTATTAAAATACAATTTTATAGATTTATTATTTTTTTTTACATTGAAACATTTTAAAGGAAAAATATTTGTCCTTATTGAAGAACAAGGCAAAAAACGTTTCTTAACGTTAACTAAAAACTCCACCATTTGAATCTAGGCATATGGCCACTGAGGCATATGGCCGCTGGAGCATATGACCAATGAGGCATATGATCATTGAGGCATATGACCAATGAGGCATATGGCCACTGGGGTATATGGCCACTGGAGCATATGAGCAATGAGACATATGGCCAATGAGGCATAGAACCCCTGAAAATTTCCAGATTTATTGACCAACATGAAATGTCAACATGTAGAGGTGCACCAAACTACTGCATTTATTGATAACACATTCTTACTGCTGTCAGAAGATTTGTCTTACTATTGTTGCTTAGTTTCATTGCTTTCTTCATGTAATTTTTCAGGCTGTCTATCAAAGGGTCTTAGCCTGCAAGACACCAAAGATAGCCATGGTGTCTACAATGGTCGCCTCTGTGGTTGCCTTTCTGATGGCTATACCAGCCTATATGCTTGGCATTGCCGGGGCTGCAGCAGGTGTCCTTTGAATGTCTCAGTAACAAACTATAGGAAACTAACATAGACTTAAGAAATACTTAGACTTATCTAGATCAATGAATTATTGAATTAAATAAGTTAAGAACAAATCGATTTCAGAAAGTATTCATGACTTGAGAGAGTATTCATGACTCGAGAGAGTATTCATGACTTGAGAGAGTATTCATGACTCGAGAGAGTATTCATGACTTGAGAGAGTATTCATGACTGCGAGAGGGTTTATGGTGACAAAATAGGAAAATACAAATAGATAAAATATGCACACATTTTACAGATATCCCCACTATCACCATCGACGACTACGACTTGGATACTGTTGACAGTTTCACATATCTGGGATCCAACATATCGAGCACCCTCTCAATGGAGGATGAGATAAGTGGAAGGATAGGGAAGGCCGCAACTGTTATGGTCAGACTGAAGAAAAGAGTCTGGTCAAATGCCAAACTCACAACAAGATCTAAGCTGCAGGTGTACCAGGCCTGCGTACTGAGCACACTTCTGTATGGATGCGAGTTGTGGACCACATACTCTAAACACGAAAGAAGGCTCAATGGCTTCCGCCTCAGATGCCTGCGCCACATCCTTGACATTAAATGGCAAGACAAAGTCCCCAACACGGATGTCCTGTCCCAAACAAACATGTATAGCGTACCAGCCATGTTAATCCAAAGACGTCTCCGTTGGCTTGGACACGTCAAGCGAATGCAACCCAATCGTATACAAAAGGACGTGCTATACAGCGAGCTGGCGACAGGGAAAAGGTCAGTTGGACGGCCTCGTCTGAGATACTTAGACCGATGCAAAAGAGACATGAAGTCGGCCAACATCGACATCTCAAACTGGGAGGAGCTGGCAGAGGATCGATCCTCATGGCGGGACATCGTGAAGGCAGGATCACTACATGCCGAGGAGCAAAACAGGGTGGAAACAGCTGCAAAAAGAGCGAGGAGGAAGGCCGGTAAATACTGCTCCACCGCATTCATGTGTGGGAAATGTAACAGAGACTGCCATTCGAGGATTGGTCTCACCAGCCACACCAAGAGCTGCAAGCAATAAAGATAATCTATCGTCCCCCGCAGACGGAAAGATGCCATACATACAGTGGTTGCTAAGAATCTCACATGTTACCGTGACTGATTGGTTGCTAAGAGTCTCACATGTTACTGTGACTGATTGGTTGCTAAGATTCTCACTTGTATATGTGACTGATTGGTTGATAAGAATCTCAAATGTTACTGTGACTAATTGGTTGATAAAAGAATCTCATAGCGCTCGTGACGACTTATGTACCCACTAGTCAACTCCACTCGTACCGATAGTAGCAAACTCTCAATACCACGTGTTGACCTTGAGTCTTACGGAAGTCACACTTTCACATTTGCTGGCCCAACAATTTGGAATACACTTCCTATCTGTCGCTCTCAGAAAAAGCCAGACACTAGAGTCTTTCAAAATCGATTTGAAAACACATCTTTTTCGCAAACACCTGCTGGGGTGATGTTGTCTACAATCTTTTCCAGCAAGCGATTATCTCCTAGATGTATATTGGCCTGTGTTGTTTATGTTTGCAAGGAATGAAAGACCTCAAATGGGTATTCTCGTATGTAGTTTTTGTAATGTTGCGTTCTGTATTTCAATGTTGTATAATGAAGATTTTTTCATTTCTATTTTAATATGGTTGACTTTGTACCACGCTTTGAGCATTTGGGGATGAAGCATGATTTTCAATAAAATTTACTATTATTATTATTTTGCGGAAACATCCAACATATAAATGCAATGATGACCTTTAGTGATTTTTATAAGCATTGATACTCTTTGAAACGCGTTGGCCTCCCAGCTGTACAGTGTATAATAGCCTCCAGTTTTACAGTGCATGATAGCCTCCAAGCTGTACGGTGTATAATAGCCTCCCAGCTGTACAGTGTATAAAAGCCTCCAAGCTGTACAGTGTATAATAGCCTCCCAGCTGTACAGTGTATAATAGCCTCCAGTTTTACAGTGCATGATAGCCTCCAAGCTGTACGGTGTATAATAGCCTCCCAGCTGTACAGTGTATAATAGCCTCCCAGCTGTGCAGTATATAATAGCCTCCCAGCTGTACAGTGTATAATAGCCTCCAGTTTTACAGTGCATGATAGCCTCCAAGCTTTACGGTGTATAATAGCCTCCCAGCTGTACAGTGTATGATAGCCTCCCAGCTGTACAGTGTATAATAGCCTCCCAGCTGTACAGTGTATAATAGCCTCCCAGCTGTACAGTGTATGATAGCCCTATAGTTTTTGGACCAGGCTCACTTCTGAGCCCACGTCTAATCTCAATCGTCAAATTAACTGAAAAATGTATTTTTGAATCTGCCAGATTGGAACAGCACATCGTATGAAGGACCGATTCCCATACCAGAAGATCAGAAAAGCAACATACTTCCTCTCACCCTCACTTATCTGGTCCCGCTTCCAGTGTCCATAATAGGTCTTGGCGCCATATCGGCTGCCGTAATGTCGTCTGCAGACTCCTGTTTCCTGTCGTCAGCGACAATTCTTACAAAAAATATCTACAAAGACATATTTCGGGAAAAGGTTAGAATTCATCAATAAAGCTTGATTCTCATCCATTCTAATGCAAAATCAGTCTTCGTTAGGCTGGAGTTTGGTCTGGGTTATGGATAAAGTTTGGTTTTCGTTAAGGCTAGAGTTTGGTCTTGGTTATGAATAAAGTTTGGTCTTGGTTAGGGATAGAGTTTAATCTTGGTGAGGGCTAGAGTTTTGTCTTGGTCAAGGCTAGACTTTAGTCTTGGTTAGGGCTAGAGTTTGATCTTGGTCAGGGCTAGAGTTTGGCCTTGGTCAAGGCTAGAGTTTGGTCTTGGTTATGAATAAAGTTTGGTCTTGGTTAGGGATAGAGTTTAATCTTGGTCAGGGCTAGAGTTTTGTCTTGGTCAAGGCTAGACTTTAGTCTTGGTTAGGGCTAGAGTTTGATCTTGGTCAGGGCTAGAGTTTGGCCTTGGTCAAGGCTAGAGTTTGGTCTTGGTTATGAATAAAGTTTGGTCTTGGTTAGGGATAGAGTTTAATCTTGGTCAGGGCTAGAGTTTTGTCTTGGTCAAGGCTAGACTTTAGTCTTGGTTAGGGCTAGAGTTTGATCTTGGTCAGGGCTAGAGTTTGGCCTTGGTCAAGGCTAGAGTTTGGTCTTGGTTATGAATAAAGTTTGGTCTTGGTTAGGGATAGAGTTTAATCTTGGTCAGGGCTAGAGTTTGGTCTTGGTCAAGGCTAGACTTTGGTCTTGGTTAGGGCTAGAGTTTGATCTTGGTCAGGGCTAGAGTTTGGCCTTGGTCAAGGCTAGAGTTTGGTCTTGGTTATGAATAAAGTTTGGTCTTGGTCACGGCTAGAGTTTGGTCTTGGTCAGGGCTAGAGTTTGGCTTTGGTCAAGGCTAGAGTTTGGTCTTGGTAAGGCCTGGAGTTTGATCTTGGTCAGGGCTAGAGTTTGGTCTTGGTTAGGGCTAGAGTTTGGTCTTGGTCAGGGCTAGAGTTTGGTCTTGGTTAGGGCTAGAGTTTGGCCTTGGTCAGGGCTAGAGTTTGGTCTTGGTTAGGGCTAGAGTTTGGTCTTGGTCAGGGCTAGAGTTTGGTCTTGGTTAGGGCTAGAGTTTGGTCTTGGTTAGGGCTAAAGTTTGGTCTTGGTTAGGTTTAGAGTTTGGTCTTGGTTAGGGCTAGAGTTTGGTCTTGGTTAGCGCTAGAGTTTGGTCTTGGTTAGGGCTAGAGTTTGGCCTTGGTCAAGGCTAGAGTTTGGTCTTGGTTATGAATAAAGTTTGGTCTTGGTCACGGCTAGAGTTTGGTCTTGGTCAGGGCTAGAGTTTGGTCTTGGTCAGGGCTAGAGTTTGGTCTTGGTTAGGGCTAGAGCTTGGTCTTGGTTAGGGCTAGAGTTAGGTCTTGGTTAGGGCTAGAGTTTGGTCTTGGTTAGGCCTAGAGCTTGGTCTTGGTTAGTGCTAGAGTTTGGTCTTGGTTAGTGCTAGATTTTGGTCTTGGTCAGGGTTAGCGTTTGGTCTTGGTCAGGGTTAGCGTTTGGTCTTGGTCAGGGCTAGAGTTAGGTCTTGGTTAGGGCTAGAGTTTGGTCTTGGTTAGGGCTAGAGTTTGGTCTTGGTTAGGGCTAGAGCTTGGTCTTGGTTAGGCCTAGAGTTTGGTCTTGGTTAGTGCTAGATTTTGGTCTTGGTCAGGGTTAGCGTTTGGTCTTGGTCAGGGCTAGAGTTTGGTCTTGGTTAGGGCTAGAGTTTGGTCTTGGTCAGGGCTAGTGTTTGGTCTTGGTCAAGGCTAGAGTTTGGTCTTGTTTTGGGCTAGAGTTTGGTCTTGGCTAGGGCTAGAGTTTGGTCTTGGTTAGGGCTAGAGTTTGGTCTTGGTCACGGCTAGAGTTTGGTCTTGGTTAGGGCTAGAGTTTGGTCTTGGTCAGGGCTAGAGTTTGGTCTTGGTAAGGGCTAGAGTTTGGTCTTGGTCAGGGCTAGAGTTTTTCTTTTTATAATAAAATAATATTTAAAACGTTATTAATATTTTTAAAAAATCATAACAACTTTGTCTGGATATTTTGTGTGTGGTGAAGTCCCAAGAAGGCAGAAAGCAAATTAGTGCTAAGCTTCTCTATTCTTTAAACAACAACTTTATAGAAGAAGTATTGATTTGCTAAAATTTCGATGCAGAATATGTTATCTATTTGAAGGGTTTTGAAATACTGAAATTTCCATGGCTTGGGCCCTAGACATGACAAATTGCCTTTTTGATCTGGATGATGAAATACTGACATGATTGTAAAATTAACAACAAAATAATATTATCTTTATTTTAAATGTTTTTTTAATCTCTATTATTCTCTCTGAAATCTAAACATTAAAAAAAGTGTTTTGGGTCTGATGACTTCCAAAATGGAAAGTTTGATATGTGTTCCCTAGGCATCTGACAGAGAGCTGCTCTGGGTTCTCAGGATATGCGTTGTTATATGCGGTACACTAGGGACAGTGGTGGCGGTGTTTTCAACAACAATCTATGGACTTTTTGTTTTATGCAGGTAAACTATAGTCCTTTGAAAGCCATGAGCCTTCGACTTATCAAATTCTTTGAATACACATTCTCTTATGGCAAGAGTTCTTAGATCCAGTTTTTCAAAAAAGAAGTTTTCGAAAAGAAATAATACAACTTTAAATCAAATGATATCATTATTCATAACCTTTTAATCTTTCAGAAAATTAAGTTTTTGAAAATAATTTTTGTTCCCTTCCGGACCCTTTCAAAGTTGTATTTTGTTTCTGACTGTCCATCGTATTTACACGCCCCTCCCTGCCAGTGACCTGATGTACGTTGTCCTATTTCCACAACTGATCTCTGTGCTGTGGATCCCCTGGTCCAACACTTACGGAAGTTCGGTTGGTTTCTTTGTGTCGTTCACCCTGCGCATCCTCAGTGGAGACTCCTTATTGAAGATCCCCGCGGCTATCAAGTGGCCGATGTATGACTATGTAACAGACACACAGTTATTTCCCTTTAGGTACGTACCTCTCCAGCATACTTTACAATTCACAGTTCACGCTGTCAACATTAAAAAAAAAAAGTCTTTACAACTAACTTTTTTACAATTACATTTATTTAAAATTTTATTTAAGCTAGGTTTCCCTTTTAATCATTTTGAGGAGTTCGAGTCAAACATACATTTTTAAAATGTTTATTTGTTAGCCTGATTTGTAAACATGACAGTCACTGTTAACAACGTCCTCTTCACACAGGACATTCGCCATGTTGGTTGGAGTGTCATGTGTTATCATGATCTCTGGACTGACCCATTTCTTGTTTGTCCGAGGACACCTGTCGGTAAAATATGACATTTTCAACTGTCATCGCCAGCGTACACATCACAAGCATACGTCATCAGCGTCCGGAGTCCATGCTGACGAGGACAGCTACTCAATGATTGATACTATAAAAAGTGACGAACTGTTTAATCAAGCAAAAATGAAATTGTAAGACACAGTTTAAATATTTCTAGGCATATCTTGTGCTGCATTGGGGAAAATGAAAGTATCGAATCACCCCCGATACCCAAAGATTTTAATATAAATTAATAAAATCATCCACGGCATTGTAGCCCGCTACGTAACCAAACATTTTTTGCACTTCACATGCTCTGTTCTTATTTGGATGAGTGATAGGTGGATTAGTGAATGCTATTTGGCTATAGAGTTTCGCTGCACTCATTGACTTAAACGGCATTTTCTTATAAAAAGTGTATTTAAAGGTTATGTATTTATTATATTATAAATTGAATAAAAACATATTTTGAAATGAAAAAAAAAGGAAAAACTTATTAAATGTTAAAAATACAAAGTTAAAATTGTTTGTGTTTAATTAAATATTTAAAAATCAATCAATCATATTTATTATTTTTACTTTTAAGAAACACTAAGAAGATACATTATCAGTTTAGTCTCGTGCGGTTATAAAATGAAAGAAATTAAGAGCTTTGGCTAAAATAGGCAATTCGTTCTATGACGTCATTTGCTTGTTTATTGAGAACACATTAATTTTATTTTTATTTCGCAATATTAACAATTCACTAAAAACGCACTAAAAAAGCACTAAAAACAGATGTTTGGGTTTTCCCGATAAGTGTGATTGCTATGTAATTCTTAGATCATGTTTTTTTTTTTCATAACGTTCAAACTAGAGTTATTAGCTTAAAATAGTTCCATTAAAAGTTAATTTGAATGTATTTGTAATTTATAATAATATTACTTAAACATTTACTAAAATAAAAGTGGATACTTTTCATAATTTGCGATTTCAAATTTATTCGATTTCCGTAAAATAACAGAAAATCACTATCACTCCTTTTAAGAATCCAAACGTATTTAAATCTATTAGTCTCTTTGGCGTTACGGTCAGCCTAGCTCATTCTTATATATATATATAGATTAGATAGATTAGATAGATTAGATAGATAGATAGATAGATAGATAGATAGATAGATAGATAGATAGATAGATAGATAGATAGATAGATAGATAGATAGATAGGTGATAGATAGGTGATAGATAGGTGATAGATAGATGATAGATAGATGATAGATAGATAGATAGATAGATAGACAGATAGATAGATAGATAGATAGATAGATAGATAGATAGATAGATAGATAGATAGATAGATAGATAGATAGATAGATAGATAGATAGATAGATAGATAGA